TATATATATATATTTATATATATATTTTTTTTCAGTTTATTCTATATGATTTGGTATGGTGACCAATAAGTGACACCCTAATGACTTTCTTAGAAACAAATATTTGTCCCAGGGGCAACTCAGTGGGCCCAGACTCACACAACCTAGTCTCAGCTGCAAGCACGAGGCACATACAGGGACACAGCTAAGTACTTTCTGAGGTGTTTTTATATAATATAATATAATATAATATAATATAATATAATATAATATAATATAATATAATATGCTCCCCTTGGGGGTTTTCAATACACAAACATCTGTCAGATGTAGAAGATACAGACTAGAAATATTTATTCCATCATATTAGGTGCCTGGCACACCTAAAATGCACCACATATAGTGCATAGCCACGTTTTGTGCCACTGGGCACACACTCCCCATTGAGTGCAAATGCTTAAAAGCAATAGAAAAATATTCAAGACAAATCTGACAAACAAGTGGTACCTTTTAACTCTGGTGCCCCATGCTTTTTAATATCTCCCTGGGCGACTGCCCTTATGGACGATTTCAGCCACTTTTCTCCTTCCTAACGAGCTTAAAGCTTGCTGCCATGCTCTCCATTTATCACTACTTTAAGAAACCACGCTGAGGTTCCCTTGTGGCTACATTTCAAAAGCTCACTCAAGCCAATAAATGAAAGCTAACATAAAACTGCATCAACCAAGCAGACATAATCATTGGCCAAATCTTTTTATAAACTGGTATCTCAGGTTAGTCACACACTGTAAGCTACTTACCGATTTCTCCATACAGCGACGGTCTGGCCCGGGTTATCTCCATTTCATGTTCCCGTTCTTCTCCTTCCGGCTCTCAGCGTAGGTTCAGCCGAATGTGTTCTTCATTTTGAAGTAAAGAATTAAGGATGCATGTAAGCAATGCATTATTACTAAATAACAGTTGGCAATTGAGCAGTGTCCTGTTCAGAGAGAGCAGCCGGGGTGCAGGCTAAATAAACAATGTCTGGGGATTCTGGGATATGTAGGCGGAGGACCAAAGACGTTACATAAAACACAGTGTTGTACAAAAGTCATTATTTATCTTTGTAGTACTTTAAAATTAGCTCTGAAATTAATACATTTAAATTAATAAATTTCAAGTTTTGTGACTATATAAATTAGTGGGAAAAAAAGTTTTTAAAAATGGTCTGGTTGATATTTTCTTGGTTGTAATAATACTTATTGGCAATAAGTATTGTGCATCAAAGTCACAAGATTTTTGTTTAATGTCATGGCAATATCATGTGGGATTAACACAAATTTCCAAACAGACAGTTTTAACCTTTAAAGTACAGCTGTTCAATAAATTAGAATGCTTTCTGATGAGGCTGGTTTCTCAGATAAAAAGTACATTTTTATGGACAGCCATTTCAGCCAAAATTAAATAAATAAATAAATGGGCGAAATAAATAAAAAAATGTTTTTATTTAATTTCAGCCAAAATTAAATAAATAAATAAATGGGTGAAATAAATAAAACATTTTTTTTATTTATTTCACCCATTTATTTATTTATTTATTTAATTTTGGCTGAAATGGCTGTCCATACTATTTGAGACAAGCAAGATATAAAACATACTTCTCATCAAGCCAATATTTCTGTATTAAAAGTGTTTTTATTGTCTTGTAATATCTAATCTCAAATGTCATGTCCTCATTAGCTATAATTGGAAAATAATCATAAATAAAGAAAGGCTTCAGTCTGTGTGTAATTCATCTATACAATGTGTTTCACTTGGAGAATTAATAAATAAATGAACCTTCTATTTTCTGATTAATTGAATATAATTGTATATAAATCAGTCTGATATGAATAAGCATTTATTCAATCGTTAGGTAAGGTTAATTTCCACTCAGCCGTATTCATGGTTGAGTTGTTGATGGTAGAGGAAACCACAAAGACTTTCACAGGAAGCTGAGGTTTGACTGACAGGAGCCGTTTCAGCAAATCATCTGACATGGCATGGAAAAATTTACAATATGGCAAAGTCTTCGTGGTAATTTCATTAAATTTGCTCAAATTAAATTGAGTTTTAATATGAGCTACTGGAAGACTGAAAATTTCACTTGATACTAGACATTTTTGAATAATAAGTGCTCCACGATTGGTAGGGAAGGAAATTTTCATATCACCTTTGAGAAATTATAATTGAACCAAAAAATACTTGTTTTTACATTCAGTCTCAGACTAAATATTGAGATAAAATTTTAGGTAGAAGTTATGAACACTTTGAATGTTGATAGCAAGATATTTTTGGTTTAAATGTAATCGTTTGCAAATACCCTTTTATATGATATCTAATATAAAACATCTTCTTTCTGAGAAAATTCAATCCAAAACCCCAATTCGCATCCACCAGTATCCAAAACTAAATGTCAGTGAGGATATCTGAATTTGAACTGTCTGAGTCCACAGGTTATTTAATGTCACTTTCTTCTTTAAAACCATCTCGTTGGTTGAAAAGAGGTGAGTGTGTTCTGTTGTGGCATGGGAAGTTGGTGTGGCTTTCTTACAATTTGGGAACAAAATTCAGCAAAGGAATAAGGATATGTGACATGGAAGTGGTGAGACCCAGGGTAATGTGACTGTAGTAGTGGTTTAGGGTTGAGTATAAGAATGCTGAATATCTTCTTGAGATAAAGGGCTAAAAACAAGTTCAGCTCAGAATTGACATCCAGGTTTCCAAAACTCTGGTCCCTAAAGCATCTTACAAAATACTCCCGTAGTTTTTACGCTACAACTAACAGATTCTGACTTTGAGGGCATTACGAGATGGAACATGTTTCGTTAAAAGCTGATGTAGATAATCAATTCCTTTACCATTTGGACCAAAGTCCATGAGTGTAAATACTCTAAAACGAATTCTAAAGTTTCATGGGAACCAGTGTCAAGAGCAGGTGTAATATTACTTTGGATTTTGTGAAAAGTCTTGGTGATAAACACTGAATAGCTAGAATATCTGAAATTTATGATTTACCTTGAGTCATACTGGTGAAAAGGGTTTTACAGTAATTTATGCACGAGGACACCAATGCATGATTAAAAGACAAATACAACTGGATGTAATCCAAGTAGCAGTAGTGGTGGAAAGAAATTGCCAAATAAAAAATAATCCACACAGTATGCCAGCCGATGAAAAAAAATAATGTTGGACCCAGAAGTAAACCATAAACACATGTTAATGAGGCAGAGTCAGGCAAGAACTTGCCTGTCAAGATGAAGAATTTCCAGTCAGACAAACGTGAAAAAACAAGTCTAATGCAACGCAAAACAAACAAACAAAAAAAAAACAGCCTGTAAAGTAAAATTTGTGAGAATCAAATGACTCACTGAGTTCAAGTGCAAAGATGAAGACAGGTTAATCAATGAGATAAAACAAGGCTTCAACAGCGACATAAATATCCTGAGCTTTAACACCGTTTTTAATAATGTCTGATCACTACTTTTTATTATGTTACAAGTACAAAAACTATGCATCTGCCCCCTTATTTATTTAGGATGTGTTAATGTGTGTGTCAATCTTCTTAAACTCTTTGATTAAAAACAGAAGATATATTTTTGTCCTGCATTCAATTACTTTTTAGCCAAAACTGGGCGCTTTTAAATCTGGAAATATTATTGTCAGAGTTATACACACAGACAGACTTGGACTCATTTTGTTTCATCATCTTACTTGTAAAACAACTGACACCTGTCAATGTTTAATTATTTCTTAATTTTTCACATCCTCTTTTCTTTGGTTCTCTTGATCCCAAAAGCTACAGTTAGCTCTGTCACATTGGTGTTGGTAATGTTATGGTTTCATTGAGTTCTTCAGCAATTCAAGCCTGTAAGAGAAGACAAAAACAACCACAGTTATATGTTCCTTTACGTACAGTGAAAATTGTCATTTTTTAAAGAAGATGTTTTCTTTCTAACCAACGTGGAGCTTAATCTTCTTTTCTGATAGCTAAAATCAAATGTCAACAGATATTTGATCAAATTCTTACCAGGCAAGAAGTTTATTTTCAAAAGCAATGAGTACCTTCGGCTACTTTTCACCACAAATATGCTCTACTACTTTCAGTTTCAAATTGGCTTAATCTGATTCGAAACTGCTCCTGTAGGAAAATGCAATTTAAGAGGTGGACCCACCTTATCATTTTGTTTGTCTCGGTTCTGGTATCCTATTCAGCATTTATAAAGAACTTAGTTAAACGAACAGGAAACTGTTTTAGTTGGTTATAACCTATTGCTATAAGCAGGTATAACTCAGTTGAAGCTTGGATTACAGGTTTTGTTTTTTTGTTTTTACTTTAAATATCACTTCCTGTTGGTAACTGTGATAATCCAAAGGCTCATGTACTGCCATACCAACCAGTTATTACTGTTCTTTTCTCATTTCCAAAAGGATGTACTGCCGAAGTTAAGCCAGTTGTTTACTTAAAGATTGCATATTTTGAAAGTATGAATAAGAGAAATGCACAAACGGTTATAGAACAGACAGCCTACTTACTTCCTCATTCTACTAAGAACAGTTACAATAAACCACATTAAACCGAGCTCTGTTTTCATACGTTTTCGAGAAAGCTCCAATACCTACGCTTCACATCGCCAGAGTGGTTATGTCTTATATTTTCCCTGAAGACAATGCAGGAAAACCAGACGCACGAGCAGTGAACCGCAGGCGCAAACTAGCTTCGCCATAGCTCGAGCAGCAGCACCAGCAGCAGCAGCAGCAGCAGCAGCCTCGGTAGTTTGGTCTACACTTTCAAGATGGACGCTTTAAGCTCGATAGGTTTCTGTTTCTTTTTCGTCGCGTAGAACCCATATGTTGCTTGCCCACACCAGGAACCTCGTGGGGGACCTATGTAGTATCGTAGCTAAGCGACTGTTTCATTTGGAAAGCGGAAGAAGTGATTTTAATGTGGACATTTCTTCTCCTTCGTGTTTGGACCGAGGGGTATTTTGTAACTTCCTGGTTGTCGCATGAACATGTCAGTTGGAAGTGAGGCGACAGTGCAAGGGACTCTGAAAGCTTCGGATATTTCAGGATTAATGGGATTTTATCGGTCGTTTGTGATGTTAAGAAACGGGGACAATTGTTTAAAACGACAAGCAAAGGGAGAAGGACAGATTTCATAAGCAATGGAAAGTCGACATGGAGGAGCCCCAAGTGAAGGTGACGAGCTTCAGTATTTTTAGGACTTTTCTATTAATGGGTATTAATTGGAAATATCAATTTGTAAAACTTTAACAACTTTGAAGCATATTAATGGAAATAGACACCTAAATGCTAGGTGTTGGCTCTCGGGTTAGCCTGTCCAGGATTGTGAAATACCTTTTTTTCCCCCCCCCCTGCTCACTGACTGCAGTTTTCTGTAATTTTCCAGCTCTGTGTATATGTTTCGCTCATGGTCATATTTTCTGTTTACACCAGGTTTTTTAATACCTGTGTCGGAATCTTCGGACGTCTTTCAGAGCAATATATTGGCTCCACTTCAAAGTGCTTACTTGTACGAAGAATCAAAGCAGTTTTTCAGATACAAGTCTGCTGTGTTAGTCAAGAATCCCGATATTGAGGACAAGGTCAGCTCAGTCTTTTCCTCCTCACCACACAGCCTCTGTTCAACACTAATCACACCTCAAAGAAGTTCATATTACACTGTATTAGCTAATTTAAATAACTTTCCCACAATATTTCTGAAAAATATAATTACTTAATATTGACTATCTCTAACTAGAACATTCCTTCGACTGTATCAGCTTCCAAATTGATTTCTCAATGTGCTCTTCACATTAGTACAACGCATTTCGAGCAAGGAAAACAAAAGCAGGGTACTCAGAAGATGATCTCAAAGAAACATACGGCTTTTTGTTGTTTGACGACGGCAGCAAGGTACATTTCGCCGAGACATACACAGCTCAGAGAATACATATTTTATCAAATGTTGCTGATAGTCATATTTTTATAAACTATTTTAATGTTTTTAAAGGCTAATGCACTTGGACAAACTGGTATAATCTCTGGAAACAGCACATGTACAACTTTGGGAGATCCAGCAAAAGGTAAACTTCTTATTTCCTATGTATGACATGCACACACCCTGAAGTCTGATGCAACCAGACGAATAAGACTAGAACTGCAGTACTTAAGTTACAAGTATGTGTATAAATATTTCAGATGAACTTACCGTTAAAAAATGTTTTTAAAAAGTAAAGTGTCTTTCCCAGTGGAAAGACACTTTTGTTTGTCCCGCAGTGCTGTAGTCCCTATGAAAGTGAAAGCAAGTTTCAGAGCTCTATCAATGTATATAAATGAAAGTGAAAAAAAAAATCCTAAGTTGAAAGTGAAACTGTAAATCACAGCATATGTACACTCAGAACTGTATTTACTTCAGAAGTAGAGTCGCTGCAGCAGTCTTGATTACTTTTCTCAAATTTTTCTGCATAAATATAAAGTTGAAGTGTTAGAAATTCTTCTTAGCGAACTGAGGAATAACTGAGCCAATGAAAGAGCACAAACAAATAAAAGCTTTATTGTTTCAGATGTAACTCTAGTTGTGCTGTGAACTTCACTTCTCTGGTTGTTGAAATTATTTTTGATGCAGTTCTTTTGTGACACAGATTGTGAAGGTAGTTGCAGCAGATTCTCCATTTATCTCTCGTTCAGACCAGCTTTTATTTTCAGGACTCTGTTTTTCCAAATGGCTGACAAAACATAATGGAAAATGAACCCACCTGACAGGTCTTTGGCTACTCCTGTTTCCCACTAAAACCAGATTTGCGACTTGCTCTTATTTGCAACCTACAAAACTTTCAGTGACTTTTACCCTTTTTCTATTGATATTTTTCATATACCAAATAATATTTTTCAGTATACAGATAAATGATCCTTTTTATTACATTTGTTGTAGCAAAAAAAAAACAATAAAAACAAATGATAGTTTTGTTGATTTGGGGCAAAGTTAGGTCCCTTCTGTATTTCTATTGTTTTCTGCATGTTTTAGCAGCAGAGGCGTGAAGATAAATGTCAGGATTATGGCCATTTGTGAACTCAATGAGATCATTCACATTTCTTCTCCTGCATAAGGCGTGTCTCTCGTAATAATGGCAAAGCCTTTCTGCAGGGTGTGGTTGTTCTGCTGAGGGTGTGTCATGTTTCTGGGAACCTGTTTCACATTGAACATTAAAGCATTCCTTTTATGAGGTCCTGAAATAGTAAATGCCGCTGTTTTTACTTTGTTCTAAAAACATTTATTAAAGTGAAAAAAAAAATATTTTTTCCCTTAAAGGTGTTTACATTTCGATGTACTCTGATTGTTTGGATATAAACCGCTGGTATCATGGGAAATCTGGATACATTGCCATCATCAGGCTGACAAAGGTACTGAAAAACAAAACGGCGGAACATCCATTTGGAAGACTTACCGCTGATTATTAATTATTGCTTTGTTTTCTTGGTAAAGGGCAAAGTTAAAAAGGTCGCAGAGAACTACACACAGCATTTCACAGAGCCCACTGTGGGCTATGACTGTCATGTGTCGGACCAGTTGCCTTCTGTTTCTTCCAAAACCAGCTCCTTTCTTGCTTTTGAGAGAACTCAGGTAAAGATTTCAGTCTTTAAAGGCGCTTCTCTTGTCACAACCGTGTCACATATGCTACTGTAGTTTGCTACAAACACCAGGCACCCACAGTTTATTTTATCTCTTTCAGTTTTACATTTATGAGCTGCTACATGATGGAAGCAGTGAAGCATCCCAGTCTCCCAGCACTGCATGTCCGTTTGCTATTGTGTCATTTTCGTATATGGATACAAAAGCATCACCTGTTACACTAGAGAAAAGGTATTATTGAATACAGCATGTTTGTTCCAGTTACATATATTTAATATGAGTTTTAAACTCATTTTAATTCTGTCCCAAATTCTCTTTTTAGTGAGGTGCAAAAACAGGGTGAGTACAATTTGAACAATAGCAAAAACTTTTCTTTAAACATACTAATTTCCTGTAATTGCCTTTAGTAGTTTGTGCACATTTGCAAGTACTTCTAACATTATAAAGAAAGAAAGAATGTCTGTGAGGAACAAATTAATTTATTTACAAATACTCTATCTCCTTTAAACTCCCCAATTTCCTTTTATTTCTACATATATGTGGCTTCCGAATGTAGAATCAGTCAACAGAGTGCATTCAGTCCAGTCTCAAATCACAATACCAAAACACACAATTACTAAATGAAAAGGCTTCCCTGGGTAGGGCAATAGTTGGCACATCTTATTTCCTACCCAGTGGGTCTGAAAGAGAAGCCCTGAAGCTGTAAATCACAACACACCAAACCACAGTTGCTCAGAGGTTTGTCTTTAAAAAATCTTCTCAACCTTTAAAGTCCTTTGCAAGAAATAATACTTTCTTTTAAAAAGTGATTTTTTTACATTTTTTTTACTCCTTGCACATACTGAAATCGCTATAAATAAACCAACAAACTCTCCACAGGTATTGTTGTAACTTGTGATCATATATTGTTTAATTGTTGCTGTATTTTTACTTTTTTTTTCAGTTCATCACTACTTGCTATGGAGGGGTCAGCTTCAGATACAGAACCAGAGTTACCATATTGACCTCAGATCCACTGCCGTGGCCTTTATTCCTGTACAACTGTAAGTTAAAGCTGTATTTTAACGTCTCAGCTGTAGTTTCTTCTTTAATTTTGTAAAGTCTGAGCTAACATTTGTTTCACCCATTCTGTTAAAGACCATCAGTGATCAAGGTTGACCAAGCCATTCACATGTCAGTTCTGAGAAGCCTGTTGCCAAGAACTGTTTTTGAAACGAGCTACACAGAGGAAGGTGTGTTTTGATCCTGTTCGTAAAAGAAAGTTCAAGTATTTATTTATTTTTTTTACACATTCAATCCAGGACTTTTGGATGAGTTAATGCAGCCACACATTTCAGTGTTTTTGTTTTCTGGTCTCTTTCAGTCTTTTTGGACGGCTTTTACTGTGACTTGTGTGAGTTTGTATCCTCTGAGGCAAACGAAGCCAGCTCATTTGCTCTGCTGCTCTCAGAGATCAAGAGGAAAGATTTTGTGAGTCTGTAGAGCCGAGTTACTGTTTTACATAAAATGACTAACAGAATCTGATATTAATTTAAAGTGATGTAGATCAAATCCAAATCCCTAAGCACTAACTTTATGCACCAAAGCTGTAAAATTATTATTGGATTGTTGATTTACTTTTTAATATCTGTCTAAAGAATCGTCATAATAACATGCAATGGGAATTCCTACAATTTTCCATTTTGCATGCAGCACCAGATTGTTTTTGATTTTGTAGTTAAGTTTATTTTTATCTCTAACGTAAAAAAAAACATTGCTTGCATTTGCACAGGCTCTCATCATTCCTCTGATTGATGGAGGATTTCTTATCTTAATGCACTCATCGCACTTCCTCAGATATGATGGTAAGCTAAGAAAATGAGATTGTTTACAAGTTGTCATTTACACCTCTAATTCTGTCTATGAGACAGACGCATCACTTTGCACATTTTTGCTCTTCTAGATGTGGAGTCTGCTTCGGCAGGGGTCATGCAAGGCCTCTTTGTGTTTCCTGACTCTCGGTTTGTAACGAGAGGTGATTAATGCATTTTTTTTTTTTACATTTTCAAGTTTATGGTATACCTGTTGCTTGTGTG